TGAAATGGTTTAGCAGTTATACATTTATAATGCATCATTGTAAAAAAGTTACTGATATTAATCGTGTTATCTAATCTCCAAAGATGTAATTAAAAAACAAGATAGTTAAATACTGTATCTATTTGCATGTTTTTAAATTCTCGCCTGCATTTCCAGATCGTACTACAAATCATTTAAGGAGACGACACATGGATGAAATTGCAAACCCATTAGAACTACGCAAGGTTTTCAACGACGGTCACGCAAGAAGCTCGACCAGATGCTTTAGGTGTAAGAACAAGAGATTAAAGTGCCGATATGAGTTTCCAGCTTGCAACAACTGCGAAAAAGAGGGTCACGAGTGTTTTGCCTGGATTAAAGGACTGTCCAAACCGGTTCCACGAAGTTTGGCCCTGTATCTTGAAAATAGGGTTGCCGAGCTGGAAATCAAACTTGCCGAGTTATCTGTGAATCCAATTCTGGACAAGTCCGAAGAACAGGCTTTGACATTTGCCAGGTATGTGGCAACACCATTCGTCGATGCTTTTGAGTCTTCTGAATGCGACAGAGGAGTTGTAAACTACCCGTTCCTTTACTTTCGTTCAAGTAGTTTACCTGCACCCTTCGATTCGATGTTGGATAACTCGGAGAGGGGGAACATGAAACGATTTGTTGAGGAGCATCCACCGGTTGATCTTTACAGTATTCCCAGGGATGTTGTACAAATATTGATGCAGAATTATACCAGTTATCATCAGCCTCAGTACCCCATTTTATCAAGATTGGAACTCAAACAAATACAGTTCAAGGTTTTTGAATCCCGAGTTACGGCCAGTTCGTATGATTATGCAGCTATTTCAATTGCTCTAGCAATCTCAGCAGCTACTTTGACGCACAAAGGGGAAAGAAAAAGCTTATCGTCTTCTAGCGTTCTCTTTTCCCAAGCCATCGTGCAACTCGCCCACACAAATTGGGAAAGCAAACTGAAAAAGCTTCAAATAACCCTATTGATCGCCCATTATGCTTTTGCAAACCCATATGCAGCTGACATTTGGTACACCATTCGAGAATGCCTCAGACTCTGTCTTGATCTTGGACTGCACAAGGATGTGCAAATAGAAACAAGTACTATGATAGACATAGATCTCCGACGCAGGCTTTTTCTGGTCACCACCTCCATGTCTCGACATTTGAGCTCAGTTCTGCGTATTGCATTTCCAATACCTGACAATCTTATCTCAGTAGAGAAACCAGCTACAGTGGATGATTCTTTCATCACAGAAAAGGAAATCGATCTCTCTGGTCCGCAAACAAAAGCTGCCGCTCTTCATTTTTACCAGTTCAGACTTTACGAGACAGAAGTGCACGAGGTACTTTGGCTCAATAAGGAACTAAATATTGATGCGGAAGAGTGGCTGGACGATATGGACAGCAAAGTCGAAAAATGGTACTTGAAAGCAGAAGAATTTGCCAAACTCAATCAGCTAAGGTTCAGACTTATTTGCAAGGCATCCCTTCAAACTCGTCTACGCCGACGCACTCCTAGAATCACAAACCCACCTCGTCCGTCATATGTGAAACTAGTCAACTCGCTAGCTCTGTTGATTGACGAATACCTGAGAGACTCCAGGAGCGGCCAGGTTTTCTATCTTTTAATGGGAGTCTACTATATTGAGGAAGCAGCTGTGAATCTAGCAGATGTTATATGGACGCAAAGTGACTGGATACTTGATTTTTTTACGTTTGAATTTCTAGATTCCAAGTTCAAAGGATGCATTGATTTGCTTCTTCGATTCAGTGAGCGCTGGCCCGATATAACTCGTGGAAAGATGATTCAGACATTAAAAGACATATATTTCAAGGCTTCAAAGCGATTATTTGCAATTGCAAAAAATAGGTCAAGTTATGAAACTTTTGAAGAGGACGATCAAGTGTCAGCCCAAATTGAGCAGCTACTGTTTCCCCAGAATGATGTTCTTGCTCCTGAAGCAAGTTTGCATCTTCCACGAGATGAGCCCAGTAGCATTTTAGATTCTAGGTCTATGCCAGCTCTGCTCTCGATCAACAACCAATCAAGCTGGACTGACAGTTTCAAAGTTGATGGCTTATTAAACCTGGAGGAATATGTAGGCTTACAGGATTGGGTATAGTGGCTGTTGCAGCGGCTTTATTTTTTTACGTATTTCTTAACATCCATATCAATGGGCATTCATGCTTTCCAATGCAAATTCCGTGAACGAAAGTAGTGCTTGAGAATTTGGCCAGAAAGTTGAATATCTCGCAAGTAGCTGCTTTCCGGTTGTAATGGCATCAACAATTTTGTACTGGAAAGGGGAATTCTCTAGCACTTCATGATGAAGCTTAGTAATAATCAATAAGCTCATTAAAGAAAGCATAATGTTGGAGATCTCTATCCAAAAACATAATGGGGCGTACTTTTGAGCTTTTCGGTTTGCATTTTTGATGCATTCAACACTAGATTGCAAAACATTTAAGTAGAAACCAGATCCTTCACACTGAGTACAGCTATGAGTGAGCAGCGAGCAAGCAGTAAGCCATTGAGTTGCTGTTGTCTCCAGTTGTTGCCCAATCAGCGCTTCAGCCCGGCAGATAGGGCATCCAGAGAGTTTGCCATAAATATTTTGAAAGAGATCGATCCTGTTTGTGAGCTCGACAAAAACAGTCCTGCTGTTACTATCGTCAATTTCAAGACGACCGATTTGATTCCTCGAAAAATAAATTGAAGGAGGTCTGCCTAGACAAAGAGAGACACTGGTTTCAAGCTCATAGAGCACTTTCAGTAATTTAATCCGAGGGACTTGTTTGCACACTCTTCCGGGTATCGGACCTTGGTTCCCGGTGTTTGAGAATCTCAATTTTTCAGCCAAAGCACAGGCTAAAGAAAGGGTCTTCCATACTGGCGAGCCTGATTCAGGATCCAACAGTTCATAGATAGCATAGTACACTAACGCGAGAAGAGTGTCACCATCGGAATCTCTCAATTTGTCTTTCATGAGCTCTGCTACTTTTTGTTGAATCATTATCTTGATAGAAGCAAAATCTACTCGTTTCCGCATCAGGTGGGTTGCAGAGACGAGAAATATAAGCAGCACGAACAATTGCTCATATGAAGGGTAGTTTCGAATCATGACCTCAAAATGAAAAAAGCTCTCTGGAAGCAATGGGAAAACAGGATAAATATTACTGAGGTAGTTCTCAATGAGCAATCTGGACTGCTCATGGCCAATTATGGAGAAATCGAATGGAACTTTTATCTTTGGAAACGATGTATAATTGTCAATGGAGCTGAGATTACTTGTTTCGACAGTTAGGTTCAACACCTTTGACACCGAGTGAACCATTGAGACCACAGATCCCGGCCCAAAAAAGTAGGAATCCTTGCTCCCCTCTATAAAGCATCCAGAGCTTACAGATGTTTCAGGTAGCTGCTTGGCTTCCTCTTCACTGCTGGTGCTAGAGTGTGCAAGATTCTTCCGTTCTATTTTGTTTTCATATTTGGCTATCTCGTATTTTAACTCCTTTATCTTATCGTCCAAATTTTTTAGATACCTTCTGGAGACCGAAGTTCCCAATCCTTCGTCATAGTATCGACATATGGTTCCCATAGACTCGCAATTTTTGCAGCTCGGGAGATTGAAGTCACATTTCTTTTTTCTCTTTTTGCACACACCGCAGGAGAACATTATGATCCAGCAAAGGAGCAGATAAGATGATGACAGTAAACTTGTAACCTAATAGCAGGTCTTATTATGACTTGATAATTTTCGATAAATTAGATGTCCTATTGGGCAGGAGAGAGATAAGCGATAAATAAAATTTCAAGATTTTTACCGGTAGTATTTGCGACACTACCTTGATCTGAATCGGATCCGTTGCATTTTGGCAATGGGTTTTTTATTTGCCAGCTCGCGCATTCCGGAAAGGCTCCAGCTATTGGCTAATGATTCTCTTGCTTGTTAATATAAAGATATGAGGCAGGATTGACTATAATTTATATGAAAACTTATCGTTATCTTTTTGAAATATTAGACTCGGCATTTCCATACAAACAAGTAATCAGTCACAGCATAGATGTCACAATTTACTATTCCATCGCTTTACAAAATAGCAGGCAGACAGGCCATCGTAACGGGAGGTGGTTCAGGGCTCGGCCAAATGATCTGCCAGGGTTTGGTAGCCAATAATGTTGACGTTGCAGTGGTTGACCTATTCCAAGATCGTCTGGACGAGACGGTTCACAAGTGTGATAAAGTAAAAGATGAAACAGGTTCTATTAGCAAAGTGACATCTTTGTGTTATGACATAGGTGACGAGGTGTCAAATAAACAGCTGGTAAGCTTCATCAATGAAAACTACGAAAATGTGGATATTCTCATTCATTGTGCAGGAATCAGAAGACAAAACCCCGTCACTTTTTCTCCAGGTGAATCTCTTGAGAAGCTTCAGGAGGCCACTTGTTCCATCGGATGGAAAGATTTTCGAGATACCTTTGACGTGAATGTGTTCGGAATGTACTTTTTGACTGGTGGGCTAGTTAAAAAGCTAGGCGAGGCAGCGCAGAAAGGGGATGGAAAAGGATGTGTCATTTGCTTCTCATCTCCTGCATCTGTGCACAATAATCAGTTTGTTCCAGCGTACCAGCTGTCAAAAGCAGCTATAGACCACATGGTGAGGATCATGGCTGCTGAGTTTGCGGATAAGTATATTAGGGTCAACGCTGTATCTCCAGGACTCTACGAAAGCAGAATGACCCCTATGGCAGCGGAAGATCCGACATCAAATATCAAGTATGCCAGCCAGCTCCCAGCACGGAGGGCAGGTCTTCCAGAAGAGATGGTGGCCCTCATTATATTCATGTGTTCAAGCGGCGGTGCATATCTTGACGGTCGAAACGTAAGGATGGATGGAGGCAGACTATTGACATTGAAGGGTCACGTGTATAGCGATGAGTGAGCTAATCTGTTTTAGCTCTGCTTACACGCTGTACTTTTGTATGTAAAAGGCTAACCTGAAAGTGCAAATAGAATTTGGAGAGCAAAATCTTTCATCACAGAAATTTCAAGAAGGGTGCTATATGCATCACAAGGGCACAGTTAGCCATTGACTGGCCGTGATTGCCGCTCTACAACAAACCTCCCTGAGTATTCTCCGTGAGATCATGTTTGCCGACTGCTAACTGGAACCAAGGACAAGGCATACTCAGGTAGAGCTCAAACTCGAATCTGGGCAAGCATGGAGCATGGAAAATTCACTTGACGGAGCAAATTTGTACTAAAGATTGTATTTCGAACATATATTACAAAGTAGAGCGTATTTTGAGTTCTCGCTAATCAAAAAACCAGAGAATCTTCTGCATCTGTTATCTACTTCCGAAATTCAGTACACGACATTTTTTCAATCCTTATCATGAAGCGAAGAGGAGTCCGGCGGGCTTGCGATGCCTGCCATTTGCGGAAACAGCGTTGCGACGGGCTTCAACCGTGCTTCAGATGCGCCAAGAGTGACAGGGTATGCTCTTACGGGGAGGAACAAATTCCAGGGGCCTCCGAAGTCGTCCAACTGATGAGCACCGTGCTCTCGTCCTTGGGAACGATCGAACAAAAAATTGACCTACTAGGTGCCATTTCCGATCCGCCACCCGCTGAACCCTCGCCACCTCTGCACCGTCCTCCCGTCGCCATCCAGACCATTTCGCTTCGCGGAGCACCCATGTCTACGGTGCAGAGTGCATACTCCATGGCCAGCAATGGCATGGCCGAAAATAACAGCACAACACCTTCAGTACGATCGCCCCTACCACTTCTACATCAGCTCTACCGCACAGACCAGTGGTGCTGCGATCCTGTGTCGCTTGGAATTTTGTCTTTGCAAGACGCTCAACACTTGGTTGATTTGTATTTTGAACAGATGCACAGCATGGCACCACTTCTTACAAGAAGCATACATTCAAACGCAGCCGATCTGCGCCAGCGGTCAACACTGTTGTTTCTTACCGTCTGCTGTGTGGGAGCGCGAAGTCTTTCCCAGCCCGGTCAAAACATACACGATCTGGCTGCATTGCTAGACTTTTCACTGTCTCGGGTGGTTCTGGGACGCACAGACCGCATCACGCTGGAGCAGCTCGAGTCTCTGCAGCTCTATGCTCATTGGATGCCGCTGAGAGCAAGTCAGAGCGCCAGCAGATACAACGAGGTTTCTGTATGGAACGTAATTGGACTCACGATCCGATGGGTCAAATTCATGGATCTCGAGGGCCACCTGCAAACAAAATTCACTGGCTCGCTCGAAGACGTGCGAATTTTGCGGATCATGCTCAATCTCGTTTCTCTGGACTACCAAACTCACCTTTCCACGCAGCTGCCCACGACAATCGACCCTGTTCCGCTTGTGGCCCTCGCCAGGAAGTTCTGCTCTACGGCTAGTGCAGAAGCCAACGACCACAAGCTGCTAGGGCTTTGTGAACTCACTCTGGCTCTCAAGCACGCAACGGATCTAAGATACGTGAACTTCTTTCTGGACGAATGGGCAGCCGAATGGACGAATTACCCCAATGCGCAGCTCAGCCTATCTGAAATACCATTCACCTCCATGCGCTGGTACCGTCTGAGTCTTAATAGTGCGCCTCTTGCAGGGCTGTGTGCAGGGTTGCCCGTCCCGGAATCTGAGCAACGATCTGTGCTGGCGGCCTTGAAACGCAGTGTAGAGGCAGCACTCTATATGTTTGGCTTATTTCTCGAGACTCCCGGATGGGAAGAACCAAAAGTGAACCACTCGTTTCTGTCTCGCTTCCGCTGCGCCATTGATTCCTACTGGATGACACACGCGTTTGCATTTATCTTGCTTAGCATTTTGTATGCTCGAGGAGCAGTGGACGAGAGATTTTTCTGCCGCATTCCGACACAGAACCAAACAGCTCCTCCGGCTCCCAACTCGCCGCTTTCCAACCTTCTCCAGCTCGGGCTCACCATTTTTGACCTCGACTCTACTCATCCTGCTGCGCATATTGCTGCTCTGGTCCACCAGGTCTATGACTCGCTTGAACTGCTAGACGACTCCAAAAACTACGTTGAGGACGTCTTCCCGATTCCTCTTGACGAAGGGTTTGATCTTAACTTGTTTCTGGCTCGTCAGTGTGGTGACTACACGTAGGGAAACTCTTTGCGCCAATGGAGCGCAATTTCCTCGCGCGTGGCCACCCACACCTGCTTGTCTGATATATAATCTAGAAACTTGCGCAGTCCAGCTATTCTTCCTGGACGGCCAATAATTCGGGCGTGCAGGCCAATGCTCAGCATTTTGGGGCTTCCATGCTTGCCTTCGCGGTAGAGCTCGTCAAAAGAGTCGCGCAGGTACTCAAAAAACTGATTTCCAGTAATATACGCATGGTAGCCTGCATTTTTGTAGTCGTTAGTGTCCATGGTGTAGGGAATGATCAAAAGCCCGTTTTGCTTGGGTCCGCCTGGGTATGGTAGCCAGTATGGCAGGTCATCGTTATACGCATCGCCGTACCAAAGAAGCGGCAATCCTAGCTCCGCAAACGTCTGCGCCAATATGCTGCGAGACCTCTCTGCCGCTTTGCTGTGGATCATCCCGTAGTACCAGCCCCGTGGAGGCCGACCGGTAGTTTTTTCTATCGCTTGGATGCACCGCTTGACGTTCTCCTTTTCCTCAGCCGCAGTCCATCCAGAGCGATCGACCCATCTCCAGCCGTGAGATGCCACTTCGTGTCCGCTGCGAACAAAGGCCTTTCCAACCTGCGGATTTTTCTCCAGTGCCTGTCCAACAGCGAAAATAGTCAGCTTCATGCCGTGCTCTTCAAAAAGTCTGAGAACGCGCCACACTCCACAACGACTACCATACTCATACAGCGACTCGATGTTTACGTCGCGAGCTCCACCCACAGATGGCTGCACCCCAGGACCAAGTTCTGTAGCCAGCACCTCGGTGACTGCGTCGCCATTCTCGGGACACACTTCGCTGCCTTCTTCATAGTTTAGTACAAACGAAAGTGCAATCTTGGCTCCATTGGGCCATCGTGGGTCTGGCGTGGTCTCACCATAGCCAATGAGATCGCGGGGACCGTAGTCTAGTGAATTTTGCATGAATATAGTTTTTCTGCGTGTAGATAAGATATTTATATCGGCCACCGCCGACAACCTCCGACATATATAAATCGCGTCCGCCAGCCGTCAGGGGACAATGCCGTCGCTACGTCCTGGAATTCTTGCGCCGCTGCCGTGTTTCTTTAACGCCGATGAAACAATCAACTACGACCAGTTTGCAAAACATACGCTGCGTCTTGCTGAGGCTGGCGTTATGCCCGTTGTTTCGGGGTCCATGGGCGAGGCTATCCACCTAGAAAGAGAGGAAAGGACTCGGTTGATCAACTTAGCAAGAACAGTACTAGACGAGGCTGGTTTTGTGACCATGCCTATCATGGCAGGAGCTGGAGGACTGTCCACCAAACAGGCGGTCCAGTATGCTAAGGACGCTGCTTCTGCTGGGGCTGACAGTGTTCTGGTGATTCCGCCTGGATATTATGGATTAGGAGAAGCCAATTTAGAAGCATACTACACCACCATTGCAGACCAAAGCCCTATCCCCGTTTTAATCTACAATTTTCCTGCTGTTGCGGGTGGAATCGACATGTCCAGCGACCTTATTCTCAGAATTGCCGAGAAAGCACCCAATGTAGTGGGTTGCAAGCTAACTTGTGCTTCTGTTGCAAAGCTGGCCCGCGTCGCCCAGTCCCCGCTCGGCCCACGTACCACAGGTATTCCCTTTTTCGCCCTATGTGGATTTATTGATTTCCTGCTACCAGGGATAATTGTTGGTGCACAGGGCGCAATCACCGGGGTCCCAAATTTTGCACCTAAAACCTGTCAGGAGCTATGGGAGCTGTGTCAGCAGCCATTGACCCCAGAGGTTCTATGCCAGGCCAACAAATTGCATCTGCTCGTGTCTAACGCGGATGCGGCAATATCCAGCGCTGGCATTCCCGGCATGAAGGCCCTGCTCCACCATCTTGAAGGCTCCGAGCCATATGTCCGCAGTCCGCTGCTGCCTGCGTCGGCGAACGCCGCCGAAAAGCTTATCAGTAATCCTGCTATTGTCAGCATTTTGGAGCATGAAAAACAGCTCAGCAGTCGTCGGTAAGTTTCGGCGACCGCCGATTCCCTGGTAGATATGTATTGATTTAAATACCTAACTCAGATACTCTCCTCTCCAACGATGACCGTGACTATCCAAAGACCCTCCTCCTCGGAACCTCTATACCCAGACTACCTGCCTTTCTACGACCCACTTGAGAAAGTCGAGGATATTGGCAAATTTGTCCACCATGACCCGGGCCACAGAGCAGACCCTGAAATGCCGAACCTGCTCAAAAACGCCACTGTCATGGAGCTTTCCCCAGCTATTGGCACAGAGATTAGAGAAACACAGCTTTCGCAGCTGACTTCAGCCGGGCTGGACGAGCTGGCACTGCTTGCTGCGCAGCGGGGAGTCGTGGTCTTCAGAGACCAGGACTTTGCAGACATCGGGTTTGACAGACAGCTCGATATTGCCCGTCATTTTGGACCTTTGCATATCCACGGCTGGGCTCCTCATCCGGCAAATGGCTCGCCGGAGTTCATGATAATCTATGATGATAAGGATGATCTGCGTGTGAGACGGTCCTGGAAAGGGCGCAGTCCGATCCAGTTTCACTCTGACCAGTCAGCAGAGCCCCAGACACCAGGCACTACTATCCTGTGCATGCTGGAATGTCCTCCAACAGCAGGTGGAGACACTATCTTTTCCAGTAGTTATGGAGCTTACGAGCGTCTCTCTCCAAAGTTTAGAAAGAGACTGGAAGGTCTGCGTGCTGTCCATTGCAATGTCGGAGTGGCTAATGCAGAGATTACCAACAACGGGACGTCCGCAATCCAAAGACGCAACATCTGCCGGACAGAACACCCTGTTGTGGTGGTCCATCCCGTGACTAAAAGAAAAGCTCTCTATGTCACTCCCGTCTACACGGAAAGCATTGTGGGAATGCAGAAAGAGGAGAGTGATGCTCTGCTCAACTTTTTGTTTAACCACATCATCCGCGGGCAGGACTTTGCGTGCCGTGTGAGATACGATAAGGGTACAGTGGTGGTCTGGGACCAAAGAATCACCTGCCATTCCCAAACCCTGGACTATCCCGTGGACCAGTACCGTCGGCACGGATTCCGGCTGACGCCGCTGGCCAATCGCCCAATACCTGCAAAGGAGGATTCGGACGACGAGCGGCTCGATGAGTATCTGTATACCTAATCTATGGACTGCGTCGGCATCAAGTGCCGACAAAAAAAATTTCCTGATAAGATAAGATAAGCTATATTTATAAACCGAAAAAATTGCTGACTTCTGGTATGGAGAAAGGGTGCCCCGTTGAAATCACTCAGGTGTCTGCTGACACCGACTATAAGTCCTCTTACGAGTACCTCCTCGAGCTGGAGGAACACTACTCTTCTCATTCCGAAGAAAAGCGCAGAATGCTGACCAAGATCGATCTACGCTTGCTTCCTTACCTTTCCCTTTGCTACTTGTGGTGTACTCTCGACAAGTCAAATGCGGGTAATGCAAAACTTTTTGGATTTCTCACAGACACCAATATGACTGGCGAACAGTTCAACTTGGCCCTCACGTGCCTATTTTTTACCTATGGCCTGTTTGAGCCCATCTCGAACATCGCCCTCAAGCGGGTTGGTCCTAAGCTTTGGGTGCCTTCTATGATGGTCATCTGGGGAGTCGTGGCTCTGTGCACTGCCTTTGTGAAGAACTGGCACCAATATATTGGTATTCGGCTGTGTCTAGGGGCCGCAGAAAGCGTGATCTACCCTGGCTCGTACTTCATTCTCAGCTGCTGGTACACCCGTTCCGAGCTGCAGACAAGAATGGGAATTTTCTATGGTGCCAACACGCTTGCCGGTGCGTTTGGTGGAGTTCTGGCTTACGGGATCGGTAATCTCGACTATGCCAGAGGTTGGCGTGCCTGGCGCTGGCTGTTCCTCATTGAAGGAGTTGCGACAGTGTTTGTTGCCCTTATTGGATATGTCATGCTGCCAAATTTCCCTGGAGAAGACAAGATTCGGTTTTTTTCTGATAAAGAGCTAGACTACCTTTATCTGCGGAAAAAATACGATAACGGGCCGGCAGGAACCAACCAGAAATTTGAGATGAGTCAGGCCTGGAACGCTCTCAAGGACCCGCAAGTCTACTTTGTTATGCTTATGTTCTGGTTTGGAGGTTCTGTTCCAACATACTCTCTTTCCTACACCCTGCCCACTATGGTCAAAAACCTTGGTTATTCGGCCATCAAGGCACAGGCCATGACCACTCCGCCATATGTTGCGGCCACCATTCTCACTGTGTCCATGGCCATCTGGGCTGACCGCTCGCAGCAGCGTGCTCGTACAATTATGATTTGCTACACAATTGGACTTGTGGGTATTATCATTTTATGGATCACTGTCCACCATCCTAATTTACCGGGCGTGTCGTATTTTGCTATTTTCCTCGCAGCCTCGGGCTACAATGCGCAGGCCCCAGGGATTGGTGCTTGGCTGTCCCTGAACATTCCAAACCCAACCAAGCGGGCATCGGCAATTGGCTTCATGATGCTTCTGGGTTCCATTGGTGGGGGTGGAATTGGCTCAAATATTTATATCGACTCCCAGGCACCTTACTACCCGTTAGGATTCGGATTTTCCGTCGGCTGCACGGTTCTTGGTGCCATGGTGCCGTGCATGTGCAATTACCTCTATCTGAGATCGCAAAACAGAAAACGGGATGCTCTGTCTCAAGAGGAAATTGACAAATTCTCCCTGGAGGAGCTGGCTGAGCTAGGAGATAAGGCCCCTACCTATAGGTATGTGCTATAATTTATTCTACCTACCATAAATTTTTTGTTTTTTTTTTTTTTTTTTCACAGTTCGTCATAAGTGATGCGGAACTCTTTTGGTGGATATGGAGGGTTGTAATGCTCTTCCATCTCGTCCCAGCACTTGTGCAAGTACGACTCCATTTCCTGACAGTGCGCAATGAAATCTTTCTGGTCAAACTGCTCGACGTTTTTCAGCTGATCGCGGTAGTGCAAAATGTGCTCAGCCAGGTTTGTGAGCCGGAACTGCGCCCAGTCGTTGTAGAACTCGTTGTAGTTCTGACGAGGGAGAATTGATGGCTTCACACTGGTCAAAAGACTGTTATCCAGCTTTTCGGGGCCTGCCACACAGAAGCCAGCAACGGCAGTCACACGGTTGGAATTTGAGACCGGCTTGGTGGCCACATGCTTGAGCACCATGCCCTGGATCAGCGTGGCAGAGCCCACCTTTGGGTCTGGCACGCGCACAAACTTGTTATCACCTGTGACAATGCCCGTCTCGCCGCCAATAGTATTTTCGTCCAGCTCAGCCATAATAACAAGAGCAAACGTCGACGAGTCGTAATGCATTCCGAGAGATGATGGCACCTCGTCGCCGTTGCTCTGCTCTCTGTATTTTCTGAGAAGTTCTTCGCTTGGAGGCTCTGTAGCGTTTTTCTCTGCTAGTGAGAAATTAAAATGACCCGCACTGAACAGCGGCTTCATTTTCACTTTTGTAAAGCGTTCGAGAATCTCTCTCAACTCGGGGCTATTCCACAGGGCCTGTGTAAATGGAGCCCAGCGACTGCAGTGGCCGCCAATATGGAAATCGAGACGGGTGGCACTTTTGGCGAGGTTAGGAAGACGGCCGTACTTTTCAACAATCTCCGGACGCAAAGCCTCCCAGAGAATCATATCCACAGCCTCCTGCGTCAACAGGGGAAACTGATATGTGGTGGCAAAGTTGCATACCGGTGCAACACGGGTTTTCTTGATCTTCAAGTCATCAAGCGTGAGAACCTTGGCGCTTGGGTCTTTGATTAGGTGCTTTTCAGGATCAAAAGTGAGGCCGGGATTGAACGATGGCTTGCTCTCTAGGCGTGCACGAAGTTGGGCAATCTCTCCGTCAACGGTTTCTTTAGGGATGTCATATTCATGGTTACCGGTGAGGTAGTTGACGGCGTGACCAAGATGTTTTTGTGGATGAGGATAGGCGGTCGGCATCGGTGGTGTAATTTCTTACAGCCGGGAAGCTTTGGTGTTTATATAGCCTGCCTAGTCCGCTAGCGATGTGTGAAACCCCGCTGACCTTATCAAGAGGTTTCTTGATAAGCAAAAGCTAATTTTCCGCTTTTGGCAGTTGCGCTCAAATGAGTTACAAGTATTTGAAGTGACTGCTAACAAGTTCAACTTTGCCTTCTCTGCAATGATTCCATTCCAAATATATCTATGCATGTAGTGATGCATCATATAAGCTGCTTACCGGTCAGTGGCGAAAGTCTGTCCTCCACTATCGGGAGACATAACCTTCGGAAGTCGACTACAAAGTGACAGGTTTTTTGATGTTCTCAATCACGTCTTGTGTTGGCTTTTCTAAGATGCACCCTCACCGATACAATATGCTTTCAGCCTAAATAGTGCCGCCTAGCGACAATATCGCGCAATTTTTGACCTCTGTAGCTTTCCCGATTTCAAGAGTTTGCTCTGCTTTCATTTCTGGAGTCAGCCAGTATGTTTGAAATTTGCAAGAACGTGCTCTGCAACAAGCCTACTGACAGATATATACATCAAGCTTGATAAAAGCCCTTAGAGGAATTGTTCGATTGCAACTCAAACTTTTTGCGCTGTCATCTTTCATGAAGAAGGAAATACTACGTTTTTCCTATGTTGCTTTCTGGTACTTTTTTTGCCAGATATGGGAGTATTTCCATGTAGCGCAGCTCTAGCTTTAAAAGTCTTCGGATACATTGGCTTGAACTAGGGATCACTGTCTCAAATTTTACATCTTCAATCTTATTACAGGTGTTGATCTTGACAGGAAGATATTCTTGAAGGAGGTGTACTTTATGGAGAGCCACGTTTTTCCTAGTCCTTATAATGCAACGCTGTCTGCACACTCTGTCAAGATGACAAGTACCTTGGAGACATTGACATTACTCTATTGTCAACGCGTTTGCGGAATCTATAACCGAATGTGCCTGTCTGGCCCAGACTCTTGGACGTGTAACTGAAGATTGACCTTCGATCCTAATGACTATTAATATTTTTTATTGGGCAAATGCAGATACCCTTCTGAGCATGTTCAAATTTGCAAGTAAACAAAAACTGCTTTAGTTATTACACCTAATCACCTTTAAGGCTAAGGTCGACCATATTTGGGATAGCCAATTCTGCCCCTTGTTCACGATTGCATTTGCTTTTCTAAAATATCTTATCAATGAAATTTCCTCATTCAGAATGAGAACAAAATTAATTATCCTACTATATTAATTTCATTTATCCATGTGGTGCCTGAGTTAGTATTACACCAAGCTTTGAATTTTGTCTTGCTCATTTTCAAGGCCCAGATTGGAATCAATACTGGCCTGGGTCTCCGCTTTGGATCGAAGAGCCAGCTCATATATTCAAGCACAGAGATTCAAGGTTATGCGAATGAATCCTCTGAAACAAGCAGTATATAACGTCGGATTCTAAATCTGTCATCAGTTTTGTTGAGCCTGCTACTAAAATCGCACACCAAGAGACATTATGTGCCTGTTCTCACGTCAACGTGTTCCACCGCTTCCGCGCTCACGCACTAAAAAATTTCCTGCAAGATCCAGGCACGTGCTCAGGTACATTCCAACCAGCCATTGTCGGCAACCGTTCTGTTTCGCTGTATTGTAGCGCCATGCTCAGGTCTTAGACATTGTGCGTTCCCCTTTCATTGACTACACGTGGACGAATGCTCAGAACTATATATTTCCCAAGAGACGCTTACTAGGTTTCCAGGCACGCAAATGAGAAACATTATCAGTCACTTACCTTTTTCAGTCAATTACCTTTTCTCCGCATTGGCAGATTTCGCGAAGGCTTGGCAACTTGCGGGACATTGAGTTCTAACTATAATTTTCTTGGCTCATGCATGGTTGCACTAACCCCGCGTCAGGCCCGAAAACAAAATGTATATAGCTGCCTTGTGCCGGCTTGCTTAATCAACTATGTTTTTACAAAATTTGAGAGGTAATAAGTTGTCACTTGCCATTGCTCTGGCTGGTGCATCTGCTTGGATTTTGCAGGGATATGACCAAGCCATTATGAATGGTCTCTTGACAATGGAGACTTTTGAGAAACAGTTCCCAACGTTGAACACCAGTAGGCCAGGAGTTAACAAAGAGCATGCCACTGTAATTGAAGGAACAGTCGTTGCTATCTATGAGCTAGGGTGTGTGCTCGGGTGTGTTGCCTCTTACTTTTTCGGTGACAAGCTCGGTCGTCGTCGGTTCATAATGACAGTTTGTACGGTCACCATTATTGGTGTGATTATCCAGGACACCTCTTTTCATATAGCCCAGCTTATTATTGCACGAGTGATCACTGGAGTTGGCGTTGGAGGTATCACAGCTACTGTGCCGACATACGTCGCGGAGTGTGCTCCGGCACGTTTGAGAGGTAAGCTAGTGCTTCTCTGCGGGTCTCTAGCAATTTTTGGAGTGGCACTAGCTACCTGGGTTGACTTCGGATTTTATTTTGTCAAACACAGCTCCGTCAATTGGCGGTTTCCGATTGCGCTACAGATGCTCTTCCCGTTCATATGTATTTCGCTGATCCTTTTCCTTCCCGAGTCTCCTCGTTGGTTGGTGAAAGTTGGGCGTACAGGGGAAGCAGCAGAAGTGTTTGCTCTGCTGGAAGATAAGCCTGTCGAGAGCGACCAAGTTCAAGGAGAGATTTCGTTAATTCAGCAGTCTCTTTTGGAGGATCCCGCTGCTATTAAGGCTTCTCCGTTTTCGAGAACCAAAAACAAGCATTTGAGGCGTAGTCTTATGGCTATTGGTCTGAATATTGGAGCTCAGATGACCGGAATTAATATTGTCACCTTTTACTCCACGAGCATTTTTGAACAGCAGCTCGGCTAGAGCTCTGTTGAAGCTCGTATTTTCTCGGGGAGTATTCAGATCTGGCAAGCAATGTGTGCATTCGCTGCAATCTTCCTCATTGATATATTTGGCCGGCGGTATGCAATGATTCACGCCGCAGCAATTATGGCAATCTGTCAGTTTATCCTTGGTGGGCTTGCATCAGACCTTGAAAATCCAGCTACGGCGAAGGCTATGGTGGCGTTTTATTTTGTCGCAATGTATGCTTTTCCTGTTGGTCTTCTTCTTGTGGTTTTCATGTATGCAGCTGAACTTGCACCCCTTGAGTCCCGTGCCCAGATAACTGCTATCAGCACTGCATGCAACTGGCTATTCAATTTCTTAGTTGCAGAAGCTTCTCCAACGGCATTCAACAATATTGGCTACAAGTATTACTTTGTTTATGGATCAGCCGCTTTTGTATTGCTGGCCTGCTTGATTCTCTTTTTCCCGGAGACAAGAGACAGAAGCCTGGAGGAAATTGATGATATATTTATTCAGTCTCAAACCTTGTTCGACACTGTTCGGATAGCCAAGACAATGCCGGTTCAAGGTGATGCTGACTACGACCCTGAAAGGAAGCTTTCTCTTGAAACTAAAGACGTTGTCGAGTATGTGGAGTGATTGATGATTTGTGATGCTTGCACTGTTGATATTTAGGGTTTTATGAAAGCAAGCTACAATCCCATCGCTATTTATTAAATGCCATTTCAATTTTTGTTGATTTTTAAAATTAAGATTGTGTCTTAAAGAAGCTTTTACTAAAATACTGTAATTTCTGTACTTCAAGTCAATATCAATCATGTTGATCGTAACTAAAGAGTCGAATAAACAAGTCGGACAGCCTTGCCCGATGCATTCCGAACTACCTTTGCTGTGTACATGGGTATGGAAGGACTAAACAAAATTTGTGTGCTTTTCCTAGACCTGAGAAAATAGGGTGAAACTAAAGATAAGGATGCCAAAGAAGGGGATTAGTGTATAATCTTTTCACTAGACTCTCCGTCTCATGCGTTTTTTTTTGTGCTGCGGTATGACTCATCTCAGGGCAGCGACCATGCCTCCCGTATCTAGCTTGTGAGCCATTACCTTTATCGTCTGCATTGTTAAGACCTAGGGAGAGTGGCAGCGCATACACGACCAGATCTGCCAGCTTGAAGTAATCGACTATCCTGTTTTACTCGCTTCACGGTCATAAATGTTGGCCTATAGTTTGATGGATCTCGTTGCAAGACGACATCGTGACCTTGTCGTTGCCTTCTTTTAACCGGTATCGTAAATTACCAGGCTTGGAGAGTCTCCCAAGCCAGTTACTCCAAAGTTTCTGCAACCTTTTGAACTCTTAGGTCTGGTAACGTCCGGAACGAGGCTCTAGGCTATTGGTTGGGTGCATCCAGAAATTACGGTAGTAAAGTCTGTGCGTTCAATCTCCACAACATTTAGGTGATTCTATACCTTCATCAGCGATCCGGAGAATTTTCGTACGCTCATTTCTACCCAAAGGCAATTTCTCGTTGTGGATACCTCGAAAATTGAGTAATAAATTTGGGTTTTGGCCGAGATTTCAGCCGAAAAATAGCGAGGGTTGGTGCTCTCGACCCTGAGATTGACAAGACTCTTTTTTTGAGGCACTCGACAATAATCTGACCTCGCAAGCAGTAGACTTGATATTTTTCGGAGTGTGGGGTTGCAAGCACGCAGCCTCGTGCAACAAACAAAATCCCGTGGTGCGGTATTTTAGTTTCGAGATTTTTTATGTCTGCCATAGCTAGAAAAAGTTATGCTTACTCTTTATCATCTGCCTTACGCCGAAGGATTCGGCGCCAACGCACGCAAGGTTGCAATTCTTCTCAATGAGTTGGGAGTTGACTGGAAAGGTGAAGCTGTTCCAAGAAACGAGGTCCGTACTTCCTCTGAGTACGTTCTTCTTCATCCTGACCGTAAGGTTCCTGTGCTCAAGGACGGCGAGACAACTTTGATTGAGTCTGCAGCTATAATGCAGTATTTGGCAGAGGTATATGGATCCGGCAAGTTTCTCGAATCAAAATACGATGCCCTCGCATGGGTTTCGCTGCAAAATGGGTTGTCATCGGCAGTTGCGTCACTGGCCCATGCTGATGACGAGTCACAGACGGAAAAGGCGATCAATAACGCTAGGCACTACTTGGGACTTTTGGAAAACAAGTTAGCGTCTTCCAAGAGTGGATATATTCTTGATACAGGGTACACAATTGCAGACATTGCATGGATTGCATTTGTTGACGAAAGACGCAAGGAGAAGCTTCGCCTTGGAAGCTGGGACCAATTCCCAAATATTGCCAAGTGGCAGAAGAAGGTCCTTGCACGCCCGGCTGTTGCTAAGGCATACGAGAACTAGTAGGCGTGTTCGAGGTAAAGGTGATCCTCCAAAGGTGCCCAAGAATCAACTGTAGCCCGATGATAGTACGGATGAGGTGGTTTCAAGTGGAAATTCCTCCTAAACCGTTTACGCCTACTTCATTGAAGACTTTATACACGATATGGACCAGCTTGATGTTCATTGTTTTTGATAGTAAGCTATGCAAAGATCTTCAAGAGAGAAATCCGAAGTAGACGTTCATAACGATTAGAAATCACTATCGCATAATTTTTCATAGCATACCTCACGTTGGAGCGGTACAAAAATGGGCGCACTTACATGTGATAGTGTTTGGTAAATAGACTTTTTGGCTAGCATCCCGCTCATCGGAGAATATTCTGCTCAAAATTAAGGATGCCCATTACGGAAATAGGTATTTTATCTTCAAATATTGTCGACGGAGATTTTTTTGCATACTTTTGCTACCCTATTAATATGATAACGACGAAAAAAGTTGATTTTTTTTGGTACAATAGTGTACATATATAAGAGTGTTACTGCAACCTAAAAAATGCTCCCATACAAACAATACCCTCCACAATGCAACTGTCTACCTTATGGGAACCGCCAATAGTGAATCCAAGAAACCTGAAAGCGACCTCAATACCAATTTTTAACCTATGGAACGTCTATGGAAGAAACTTCTTTTTCGGGTGGTTTGGTTTTTTTGTTTGTTTTCTTTCTTGGTTCGCGTTTCCGCCTCTTCTCCATGGCATGTTGAAGAAGGACCTAAGACTCACTGCAGTGGATATATCCAATAATAACATATGTGGACTGACAGGAACTTTACTAGGCAGATTCATTTTGGGGCCCCTTAACGACAAGTATGGCCCACGGATTACTTTGACAGGCGTGCTGGTTGCAGGAGCAATTCCGACTGCATTTGTTCCTTTGGTTACAAATGTTGCAGGTCTACATGCCATTCGCTTTTTTATCAGCTTTCTAGGCTCCTCGTTTATTTGTTGCTCCCAATTCTGCGCTGTATTTTTTGATAACAACATTATAGGGACAGCAAATGCCATTTCTGCCGGTTGGGGAAATGCTGGAGGAGGTGTGGCATTCTTTGTCATGCCTGCCATCTCAAATGCGTTGGAAAATAGAGGTTACTCTTTGCACCATTCTTGGAGCTACTCTTTTGTGATTGGGCCGTTCTTAATTTTGATGATCACGGCAATACTGATCTTTGTATTTGGAAGCGACTGCCCGAGAGGCAGATGGTCCCTTCGTGGAGATATCCTTGGTATTAACATGGATAATATGCTCGTGAAGTCTGTCTCTGTCACAAGGCACTTCTCTAAGGAAGGAGAGCTCACTTCTGTATTTGTTGAGCCTGTTAACGCAATTGATAAGGTCGTGGTTGAGCCCAATCAAGACCAGGAAATTCTTGAAGTCGCAGATATCATAAATGGTGACGAAATCATTGAAGACCCATCGCTCAATGACGTGGTCAAGATCTGTTTATCCCCGCGGACAATGCTGGTCGGACTTTGCTACATGTGCTCGTTTGGTACTGAGCTTGCAGTAGAGTCTATTATTTCCAACCTGTTCGGGCAAAAGATGACAAACTGGAGCACCTCTAAAGCTGGAGCATGGGGCTCAATGCTTGGACTCCTGAACGTGGTGGCAAGACCAGCTGGAGGGATCATCTCCGATTTTTTATACCAAAGATTCAAAACCACAAAGGCTAAAAAGTTCTGGATGATCTTCACTGGCCTGATGCAGGGCATTTTTTTGATTTGGATTGGACTAGTTCCGGAATTATCCATCGCGGGACTCATAGTGTCCGTTTCGTTTTTGTGTCTTTGGTTTGAGATGGGTAATGGTGCAAATTATGCATGTGTTCCCGTTGTGAATAGACATCACAGTGGTATTGTGAGTGGAGTTACGGGAGCAATGGGTAACTTAGGAGGCATTTTGTTTAGTTTAGTGTTCAGGTACACTATATCAAATGGAGTGAACAACTACTTCAAGGCGTTTTGGATTATAGGAATTGTTTGCACTGCTGTAAATCTGGTCTGTGTGCTTATTCCAATTAGAGAGGAGAGGCCAAGGAAAGCGGAAAATTGATTGAAATCTCGGTTACATTTTTTTATTTATGCAATGCAAGTTCAGTTTTGTTATTGATAAGATTATTTTTTTTTTGTAGTGGATCCGATCCTGTGATAAAGTAATCTGCTAAGCGGAGATTAATTTTAGGGACGGAAATTATGTAGTATTCTAAGGGGATGAACAGCCTGACAAATAAAAGCAGTTGCAAAAGTCATATTCCATTTTGTAAAACTTGATGACTTGCTCTGTTCCACCCTTGCCAGAGGACATCAGTCCTCGGGCAGCTAAGAAGAAGCTTGTGATTGTGGGCCTTGGCATGGTCGGCCTCTCATTTCTTGAAAAACTACTTTCGAACGACTCAAAACTAAATGAGTATAGCATAATGGTTTATGGTGAGGAGCCATATCTTGCTTATAACCGCGTTGGTCTAACCGAGTATTTCCAGCATCGTGAGTTCAAAAATCTTCTACTGTCGCCAGAGGAATTCTACCAGCAGCGCGGCGGAAAATGGAACTATGCCATTGATGAAAAAGTGGTTGACATAGATCGGCGAGCTCGGATTATTACCACAGACAAAGGAAACAGAGCGTCTTACGATGTGCTTGTTCTTTGTACAGGCTCTGCAGCCATCCTTCCTACCGATCTGCTACCACCTCTCACCAGAAAAAGCTATCGTGAAATGGGATGTTTTGTTTACAGAACCATCGATGATCTCTATTCAATGATTGATTATTGCCAAGGTGCAAAGAAAACAAGAGCCATTGTCGTTGGTGGTGGGCTACTTGGTCTAGAAGCAGCCAAAGCTCTCTACGACATGGAGTCGTTTGAGGATATCACCATTGTCCATAGGTCACATTGGCTGCTTTCCCAACAAATGGACCAAAAGGGTGGTTCTTTACTTACCAGCAAAGTTAAAGAGCTGGGGATTACCTGTCGAACTGGAACAACTGTGTCAGAGCTGCTATTTGACGAAGACCAAAATCTGAAAGGAGTAAAATACGATAACGGTCAAATTGAAGAATGCTCCCTTCTTTGCTACACTATTGGTATCAAACCAAGAGATGAACTCACCAGCTGTGGTCTGAATGCGGGTTCAAGGGGCGGATTTAAAGTGAATAACATGTTACAAACTTCGGATGAAAATATCTATGCTATTGGAGAGTGTGCTTCTTGGAATAACATGACCTTTGGACTGATTGCTCCTGGATATGAAATGGCTGATATACTGGCATTTAATCTCACTCAGGGTAAACTACACCAGCCAAAGGAGTTTTCTGAACCTAGTATGGGCACCAGGCTCAAGCTGATGGGTGTCGATGTTGCATCTTTTGGCGATTATTTTGCAGACAGAAATGGGCCTAAATGGCTTCCTCGCGGATACGACAAAGAAGTTCGTGGCCTTGTGTTTGAGGATCCAATAGATGCAACTTACACAAAATTGCTTTTCACAAAAGACGGCAAGTACATGCTTGGAGGAATTCTGGTTGGAGACACAAGTAACTACACCAAGTTCTCAGCGATGATAAGAAAACCATTACCCAAGTCTCCTTCCGAGCTTTTGATTGGAAAATCGGGAGAAGATGACATGGAGATGCTTTCAGATGAAACACAAATATGCTCCTGTCACAATATCACCAAGGGAAAACTTGTGGAAGCCGTCAAAAATGGTTGCAGCAGTCTTGCAGACGTAAAAAAGTGCACTAAAGCAGGAACAGCTTGCGGGGGTTGCGAGCCGACAGTAAAGATCATCTTTGAAAAAGAATTGAAAAAGTTGGGTGGCAAGGTTTCCAACAACCTATGCGTGCACTTCGACTATTCAAGAGTCGACTTGTTCTCACTGATTATGGTCAAAAATTTCCGGAGTTTTAGGAGGGTCATGGAGGAACTGGGAAATGATCCGAGCTCGTCGGGCTGTGAAATTTGCAAGCCTACGATTGGCTCCATTCTCTCAACACTATACAACCGACACCTCTTGAAAAAGGAAGTTCACGGTCTGCAAGACACAAATGACCGTTACCTTGGAAATATCCAGCGAGACGGCACTTTCTCAGTTGTTCCTCGGATGTCGGCTGGCGAGATCACTCCGGAAAAGCTTGTTTCCATTGGGAAAATTGCTAAGAAGTACGGTGTCTACACGAAGATCACAGGAGCACAAAGACTAGATTTGTTTGGCGTCAAGAAGAGCGATCTGCTGAAAATATGGAAAGATCTCAACGAAGCAGGCTTTGAGAGTGGACAGGCTTACGGTAAGAGTTTGAGAAATGTCAAGTCTTGTGTTGGATCAACATGGTGTAGATACGGAATTGGAGACTCGGTTGGTCTGGCTGTCAGGTTGGAAGAACGGTACAAAGGCATACGCTCGCCTCATAAAATGAAGGGAGGCGTGTCAGGATGTGTTAGAGACTGTGCTGAATTCCATTCAAAGGACTTTGGTCTTTGCGCGGTGAGTGGTGGATTCAACATATATGTTGGTGGAAATGGTGGAATGAAACCAGCGCACGCGCAGCTTCTTGCCACCAATGTGCGTCCTGACGAGGTGATCCCTATTCTTGACAGATACCTAATGTTTTACATTACCACGGCAGATAGACTGCAGCGGACAGCTCGATGGCTGGAAAACCTTGATGGTGGAATCGAATATTTGAAGGACGTCATCATCCGCGATAAATTAGGGATTTGCAAAGACCTAGAGGCCCAAATGCGCCAGCTTGTGGCCGGTTATTACGATGAGTGGGCCAAGGCCGTTTCAGAAGAGAAAGAAAACCCAATTTTCAAGCAATTTGTGAATACACCTGAAAACCAGGATTGTGTGGAGATAGTCAATGAAAGGGGCCAACCGAGACCGGCAATGTGGCCCGAGAAAGCGGCCAACCAAAAATTCAATGAGATCAGGTGGTCTTCGGTGAGCTGGCAGGAAGTCTGTGAGTGCTCCGATCTGCCTCTAGCAGAGGCAGGGTCCTCGGCAACGGTTTTGGTTGGGGACACCCAAATTGCTCTGTTCAGAACTAGCAAAAACGAGCTCTATTGCTCTCAGAACATGTGTGGGCATAAACGTGCCTTTGTGCTAAACCAGGGACTTCTTTCGGAAGATAGTGACAAAAACTGCTACATATCGTGTCCGATGCATAAACGAAATTTTTACCTCAAGTCCGGTGCCTGCAAAAACGATGAAGCGCTGTCTATTGCGACGTTTGAGGTTAAGGAGGAGAACGGCAAGGTGTATGCAAAACTTCCGCCCTTAAAAGAGCTGGATGAGGTTCTGGGAACCTCCAAATGGAAGGTAACAAGTCAGGAAACAGAGGCTAAGCAGGTGCGCAAGATAACAACGGAGAAAAATTTAGTTGACAAAGCAATATTGCTCGATTGGTAATTTTCTGTTAGATAGATATCAAAGAAAAAAGTTAAATACTTAATGAACTTGCAGACCCAGAGGATCTGCACTTCGTGTAAACTATTGCGACGAAAGGACTGCGATGGCAAAGTTCCCTCATGTTTGAACTGCATTAAAAGAAAGCGGGAATGTATCTATCAAGCCGACAGCGATAAGCGAAGACGAAAGTACCATACAGATTATACCCAATATCTGGAGAAAAAAGTCCGTGTTCTACAGGACTTTCTCTCCAAAAACGACCCGCAGTTACAGCTTGGTGAAAATGGTGAACAAACTCAAATTCAGTTTTTGAAGCGGGTGGACGAAGAAGCAAAATTGACCACCCTTCTTAATGAGATGGATGATCTGCGTCTCGACAACTCCCCGGAGCCTGATTTTCAGTACGACGATCTTGGACCTTTGGTTGGAGTAGCCGGGCTCAACTTGTACTACATTGATCCTATATTCAAAACAGAGCTGCTTTCTTTATTCAAAAAACACTGTTCGGAGATCACCTATGCTATCACGCTCACATTACCCACCCTCGATACATGGGTTTTTTCGACCGACACGGACCCTTCCCATCAGCTGCTTATGCTCACCGTGTATGGGGTTGCTTGCTTATATTCTAAAAATCCACATGCGTCCAAAATCAGTAAATTACTGATGAACCAGGCTGCGCAAATTGCAGTATATGCGTCGAAGTTCAACTTAGACGAATACCTACTCCAAGGCCTTCTGCTTCTTTCTTGCTACGAAATGGGCATGGGCAATGACTCGATGTCTTATCTGTACATTTCGATGGCATGTTCTTTGACGCAGCATATGGGACTCCATATATCTTATGACGAGCATTCTTCAGCCGCCAAATTTGCACCTCGAACCACTCCGTTCCAATCTGCACTTCTATGGTCTATTTGTACGCAGGATAGAATTATCACGTCAAGGATTGGTGTGCCTTCTTGCATTCACTTTAAGCGAATTATCTCTCCTGTTTATGAAGTGCAACTCTCGCGGAACGATCCTAGTTATTTGGAAGAGCTTTGTTTTTGCTACACTACTCGCGTGTGGTATATAATGGACAGGTTTACAGACCAAATATGCTCTATACAAGGTGATTTAGGTGATACGCAGGAACGAGGAAAACTGCTTAAAACCGCTGAGCTTGCATTCCAGGCTTTGAAAAATTCATTACCAATGCCCTTCCGAGATGAAAAACACTCTAAGAACTACCATATAATAATGTTTCAGCTAAACTACGAAGCTTGCGTGGTATTGCTACACCGGTTGTTTATTGACGACCCTTTGTGCCGCAACAAATGCGTTACCTCGGCCACGGAAATAACCAAGCTGACTCGGATCCTGCTTGAAACAGGAGGCATCGAACGAGCGTCCTACCATTTTGCTTTCATTAGCTCTTTAGCAGCAATGATACATCTAGTGCTATACTCTGAGAAGCTACGTCCAGAACACCTTCTCAACTTGGAAACCTGTGTCACGGCTCTGAAAATTTCCGGACAACGATGGAAAAGGGGTGCACTGCAACTAGAGATGCTATGTGAATTTTCGCAAAGCCACGGAATCAATGTGCCAATTCTAGAAACGTTCTCGTCCAGGTGGACAAAATTTTAATTTTATTTCCGCTTGT